CTTTAGACTTAACGTCGAAAAAGAATTGATCGTATTTAAAGAAAAAGTCTAAGAATATAATTATCGTAAGATCGGCAAATTCGTTCGAGAACTAGTTTACGTTCGAAGCAATATTAGCGTTCTTGATCGTCATACGGTTTATTTTAATTATAGCAATGATTAGTTTGTATTTTTCCTTCTTTTTCTTTACTATAATAAATTACTTGTTCTAATAAGAGCTTTAATATAGTTCGAAGACCTTTTGCTTTAATCGTTTTTTTAGCATAAAGATAATTATTTCTTGCAAAGCTTTTAATATCGTAAACGTCTTCTTTTGCTAGGCTTCGTAAAACACCGTCTTGATCTTTTAAAGTAATATGACTTCTTTCCGGACTTAGTTAAGATAAATAAAATCTTAAGTTATCGCTTCTTTTCGATTTAAAAAGCATTAATAAAGCAGCTTTTTTTCTTCCGAAGTAACTTAAAAGCTAATCGTAAATGCTTCAAATCGTTCTTTCGTTAATCTTAATCTAACTTTTAAGTTTAAAAACCTGTTAGTAAAGTATTTTAAAAAAGATCTTTTAAGCTTAAAAGGTCTCGCTTTTTTATTTTGCTTAAATTAATCGTCGATTCTTTTAAGTATCTCTTTATCCGATACTTTTAAATCTACCGGTCTAACCTTTTCCGCTTTCTTTTTATACATCGTATTAACCTTTATTATATTCTTTTTTAAAAGGTCTTTGTCGTTGTCGATAATAAATATGAAATTTTCCGATTTATCGAGTTTAATTATAAATATTTTTAATGTTTTTGATTTTAATAAGCCTTGCTTAATATTAAGTTGAATTGTTTTTTGTGATTTTGTTGTTTTTATGCTAATCTACTCGTGAACTATAATTTACGGGCGGAATTTCTTTTTAAGCTTCTTTTTAGCTTAGCATCTATTTTAGCTTGCATGCTAGCTATTAGTTTCTCGAGTCTTCGACTAAATCCGACTTGTCTTTTGCAATAGTAATTTAGCTTTAAGTAAATCGATCGTAGTTTTAAAAAAAAGCTTTTATCGTATTATTATCGAAGTAAAAAAAAAAGAATTAAGATTCTAAGAAGAAAAGCATGCTTAAGATGACTTCGTGATTGCTATTATTAATAATAAAAAAATCGGCGTAATTAATAATTCCGTTAATAATAACTTCGACGTCGTTTATCTATCTATCGAAGTTGTAAAGATCTTTGAACACGATAATATAAATTAAAGTTCGATCCGTTATAATAAATAGTTTAGCTATCTTAGCTACTTCTTTATTTATTACGTTAACTTTAAATCTATTATTAAAAAAGGATCTGCTCTTGATTATACCGTCGATATTAATAAAAACTTTTAAAGCCTTTATCGCTACTTTAAAACAGTTGCGAGCGATAAGTTGTTTGCGAATTTGCGTCGCTAAAAGGTTTAGCTTGCCTTTTTTATTCCGACTTAAACGTTTAACAATTAAAGCGTTCATAAGAATAAGCTTACTTTAAAAGACCTTTACGTTTTCTTTAGCATCAAAGACTACTAGAATGTAGTAGCTTAGTAGCTTGTCGAAGCGAGAGCTAAGTCCGAACAAATCTTTAATTTAGACTTCGATTTTCGATTTTATAATCGCCGCTATTGCTTTTTCTTAAGCTTTAGTAATAACGTAAAGGTCAATGAACTTCTCTCGTTTATAAGTCCTCTTCTTCTTTCTTTTTAATACTCGCTAAGTGATCTCAACCTCTTTTTCTATATCTTTTATAGCTTCGTCGGCTTTAGTTGGTTTAAAAGGTCTAAAAGACTTTTTTTTAATTATATTATCGAACAACTTATCCTTTAAGTCTATTTTTATAACAATACCTGATTTTTAAGAAGCGCGGGCCTTAAAGGTGCCGTAGTTCTTTTTTTTTTATTATCGGACATTCTTTTTGATTTTAATAAGCTTAGATCCTTTCGAGAGCGAAAAAGGCTTTTTAGCTTTGTCTTTCGCGGCGGCGTTAATCTCGACCGAGACAACTTTTATATTAAATAAATAGCTAAGCGTGTTAATCTACTTTATAGCATTAATATTCTTAATGTCGACTAGTCTTTTAAAGATAATAATAAGCTTTCGTAGCTAAATAATTAGTTGCTAAGCATTTTAATCGAGCTGATATTAAGCTAGCTATTAGATTGGTTGTTAATAAGAGAATAGGTGTTTATAAGTCTTAGGTCCGCTAATAAGCCGATTCTTTAAAATGTTATTGTATTCCGTTTTACGAACGTCTAGCACGATAGATCTAAACTAAGTCTTTTTTTGCTTTTTTTAAATGATAAGAACACCGATCCTTTTAAGTCTTAAGCAAAAGCGTTCGTAATTATTAATATAAATATATCTTTTATTAACTATATCTTTAAAAGCTTTACATTTATCTCGGTATTGATAAAATGCTTAAGTTATGTTTTCGAAGTTTTCGTAAAAGCTATAGTTTTGCATTTAGTTTTCGTATCTTTTACTTCTTCTTCTTTTTCGTCTTTATAATCCGTAGCTGATAACAGCAATCTAAACTCTACTTTCGAGGCTGACTTTACTTCGAGCATCTTAAGCGATATACTTAATAAAAGCTTCGTCGCGGTCTTCGAATCGAACTTAAAATTAAGATTAAACAAAGCGTCGAGAAGTTAAGTTAGCGATTTGATCTTCGAAGTAATCAATTCGATTATAAATCGCATTAATTTATAAGTTAAAAAACTTTTTAATCATAAAACTTACTTTGTTAATTTCTTTTTTTTTATTCGTGAACCGTAGTTTACGAGTAAACGGCACTATTATTAAAGCTTTCTTAACAGACTTAAAAACGCTAGCTAGCTCGATGTGTTTTTTAATTAAAGTCCGAATATTTTTAATAAAGTTAATTGAAAAAGACTTTTCTCGATTTATAATTTCGATAGTCTTAGCATTTTAATCGGTCTTAAAAGCGAATGCGGCAAAATCATCGAAAGCGGTATAAAAGTCCAGGTCGAGTTCGTCGACTTTATAATACTTAATCGTTTTGTTTCGGATTCTTACGAGCAATCCGAAAAAGAATAAGCGGCCTTATTCGGTCTTGCTTAAAAAGTGCATTGAAATAAGCTTTTCGAAGACTCGAGAAAAAATGCGATAATAGTTTTTTAAGTTATTAACATCTCGTTCTTGCATAGCAAATTCTTATAAAAAAACGATTGAGTCTTTGATTTGTTAAGTATCGTTTTTACGAAACTTAGCTTTTAAAGCTTTAACGAAAGCAGCTTAATCTTTCTTAGCTTTCTATTCGAGCAAGCTCTTAATAACTTCCTTGCGAAAGTTATCGCAATAACGAAAAAGTTTAACAAACCGATTATCTTTAAAGATACTAAAGTCATTATAAGTTTCTTTATACTTTTCGATAAAGTCGGTGATATTAGCATTACTAAAGCAAAGAGCTCTTAAAGCGCCTAGCAATAGCATGCGAGTAATCATAAAAGCGTAAAAGATAGCAAAGTCGATTATAACTAGCGCAAGGCTTAATAAAAGAGCAAGAAGAGCAAGAAGAAAAAGAGTAGTATAAATCTTAAGACCGGTGTTCATTTTAAAAGGCATTTCTAAAGCAAGTGTTTCCGATAAAGGTAAGGTTTTTGATTAAAAGTCGAAGTAAAATAAAGATAGTCCGAAGCTTATAAGAATACAATTAAAAGATTTAACAAATTCAAAGGATTCTAACGAAAAGAGAAGTAATTCTGCGCTAACTTCGATATTAAAAGTCTTAAAAAAGTTTTCGGTATTTTAAAGATCAGATATGTGTATATGTTAAGAATGATCGAGTTGATAAAAGGTTTTTGAATTATTTAATTTTAACTCGTAAACCGGGTTCATAAGTAAAATAAGCGATTTTCGTAAAGTATTTTCGATCCGAGATTAAAAAGAGTAAACCTTTTGTAAAAGTAAACTAATAGACAAGATCAAAACTATAAAAAACTTAAAAATCAATTGATTAGTTTCGCTGACAACTCCGGACTATATTAATTGCTTTAATTCAAAATGCGAGCTAAAGTATAAAAAGATATTTTTACTAATAAGTGAAAATTCTTTTTTATTAACAATAGAAAAGAGTTTTTGCCGAAGAGCCGAAATATTGCACTTCGATTATTTCGGCATTTCGGTGTTCGAACTTATCGAAGATAAAGTTTTAATTGTTTTTAAAGTTGTAATGATAAAAAAAAGTGTTGAATAATAAACGAAGATTAACTTGACTGCGAATTAAGCGATTGTAATAAGCTGTATAAAGACAAAGACTAAAGGTTTGAATCTTTGCGTAAGTCACTAATGTAAAAGCACTTAAAAAGATGTGCTAAGTAGAAGCCTGGCTCTAAGGCTAAACTTTATGATCTTACAAAAGAAGTGTTAGAAAAGGTAGGTGGAAAGCTCGTTGATTGTTTTAGCTAAGAGATGTATGCCCTTTTATAAAAGATGGGTTCGTCTAGTGTGGCCTTAGTGGCCATAGCAGGTATCCCATCAGGCAGGGTGTTTACAACAATTAAGCTTATAACTAAAAAGAAAGAGCGTATCTCTACCAAGCTTCGCTACGTCGATATTTACTACGTCGCAGGCGTAAGTATTACCCCTCGAGGGTACGGAAAACAGGGGTTTTAAAATGGAAACTAGACTTTTGAGGCACCCTCGAGGGGTAATACTTAGGCCTGTACCGTGGTATAATATATAGCTGCGTTAAAAGCATTTCAAAAAGAGCTTTCAAGTTTAATATCTCTTTACTAAAAAGATGCACGCTAATAGTCTTATTAAGAACTTAACTCGATAAAAGTTTAAGAGCTTTATTAAGCTCTTAAATTTACAAGACGCTCGCGCGTTAGTCGAGAAGCTTTAATAGCACGCATATGCTATTCACTTATTATATTTCATTTTTTTTATTTGCACGTGATTTAAAAGAAAACATTTATTTAGCAATCTTAATCGTTATTTTATCTTATCTTATACGCTTTTACTTTTCGCTTTTTATAACAAAAGATCAATCAAAGCTTTTAATAATCTCTTCACTTTAGCTCGGCGCTCCGCAAAAGTCATAGCAACGGCGAGCGCTGCTGCGAGAGCGGCAAGCGCAACAATTAGCGTAAAAAGAGCGACGATAATAAGTGCGACGAAAGCGACGAGAGCTGCGAAGGCGACGGGAGCAACAAAAGCGGCAAGCGCAAGAGCTATTACGGCAACAGATTAAAGCCTTTACATAAAGTCCGAAAGAAAGTTTTGATCGAAAAGAGCTGCTTAAATTAGATTATTTCGTAAGTTAAAGAGCTTGACTTACGAAAAGGTAACATGCTCGAAGCGCTTCGAATCATTAGATCACGATTCGCTATTATAAGACTATTCAATTTAATAAAAGCTATATTCAAATTAAAAGTCTTAAGAGCAAAAGCAAAACCTGCAAAGCTATCGAGATTACTTTTAAAACCTCTACTTTTACTCGCTAGACCGCTCGCACTACTAACAGCACCTCTTGAAAAAGCAACATTTAAAGCGAGCTGTTATCGCATAGCATCTCGGAGACTTCAGCGAACTTTTTGTATAGCACTATTGTCTTTAGCGCTTATAAAGTTATTAAAAGCGATGTTAGCAGCGGCAAAAGCAGCGGTGCAATTGTTATAGCTACTTTTAGCATACCGAAGATAGCGTATAACGCTCGTGTCGCAATTATAATAGTCTTTATTAGACTTCGATATAATCTTATTATTAATACACCTTATGCACTTTAAAGCCTTAACGGTTATTAATATAAGCAAGCGCTTAGTAAATGAGTCTAAAAAAAGGGGCGAAGCTTCAAGGGTAAGAGTGCGTAGTATAGCCGCCGTAGCCGCCGCAGCTATAGCAGCAGCAATAGCTAAAGCAAAGAAAAGATTCTCTTAATAATTAGCATAAATATATTAATCTATTAAAAGCACTTACTCTTAAACGGCCTCGGCCGCGCTTAACGATTTTACTAGACTGAGTTACTTGCTTAAGAAGCATTGTATAGATAAATAAAGGTTAAGTGTTTATTATAATAAAAACAAACGCGCTCTTATTTATATAACAACGCGACAAGGACGGCGCTAAAGACTTCCGTTACGTAATAAGACCGACTTAAGAAAGAATTGCATTCTTGACTGACACTCAATCAATAATAACAACCGCTATTTATTTGTTTTAAACTAAGATAATAATCTCTTTTGTTTACATCGAGTTTAAAGAGCTTAATCACTCATTTTTTTTTTCTTTCTTTTTTGTTTGCTTGCAGCTCAGCAGCTATTCTGCTAACCTAGAGGGTGTGTTGTGCGGAACAAGCATGCTCTACCTAAGCTATATGTGACATGTCATGTGACCTCGCTTAATAGCGCCCTTAGCACACTAAAGCTCTCAGGTACATGTACATAAATCTTGACGAGCTTTTTAGATAGAATATACTAAGCTTTATTCAATCTACAGAATCTCCTCTTGATCTTAGTGCTAGTAAGCATTACACATTTTAATAATAATAAGCTGTAAGGCTTTCGAATACGAATAGTTAAAAGCTTGTTAAGCCGTGTATAAGATAGTTTTAAGCTTAGTCGGTAATAAAACGTCGTCGTAAAACTTACCGCACTTTTGTTAAGCGAATGCAATTGATTTTTCTTTGCTTAGCATTATCTCTTTAAATAAATCTTTTTCTTTAAGCCGTAATATATTATCGATATTTAAGTTCGCTATGCGTTCGAGTATGATTCGGAAGCTTCTCGGTATATCGGCAATGCGTAGAAAGAGGTATTGCTTGTATTCTTTTACTTGTTCTTATAGCGTATCTTTAGCTTTCGATAGCTCGTACTAATTAACTTTGCTACTTAGTATTGCTTTTACGCCGTTTGCTTCGTTAATTAGCTTGATCTTTTTATCTTTAGTCTTATATATACCGAATACTTTAACTGAGTCTAAAGAGATCTCTTTTCGAGTCTGATAAAGTGTCGAATTCTAATAATCGATATAATCGTAACAGCGAGTCATAAAGGTATTGTGGAGGGGAAGAGCTCCGACATATACCTAACGTCAAATCAAGAGATATATATAAATATAGCCATGGTAGAATCGTAGGTGAATAAGGGGGAAAAAGGAGGACGATCGAAGGACACTCGAATGTGTGCTGTGAGTACGTGTATTGTATTGTGTGTTGATGTGGTGCTGGTTCAGGGAGGAACCAACTACTCGTCTATATAAGAGCTTACACGTGATCTAACCACGTGACCTAACCACGTGCCTAGCAGGGCCAGAGCATGCAGCGCACCCACGTGACAAAAGTGCCTAGCATCAGTACTATATACATGGACAAAACAAATACAGAGCCCCAACTCCACCACAGTATTAGTGCTAACGGCATTTATTTAGCAAGTTGTTGAAAGATCGCATTCCGTAAAAGTAAAAACATCGATAAACTGCTTTTAAGTAATAGAATCGTTTTTTTTTCGATATTGCAACGTTTCGCTTTCGAAATTAAGCGAAAAGCAAAAAGCTTTTAATATACCGACTTCGACGCTTTTAACGAGGCCGATTATTAGTTTTCCGAGTTACTGCCGCTATTACTCGAAGACTTATCGTGGTAAATAAGGCTTATACTTTGCTTTTTTAAGCGATCGACGGCTTCGTCGTATTAATTCGTTTTATCGCTCACTTTAGCTTAAATAACTTAGCTCGTAAAAGGATTAGTAACTATTGTAATAACAAAGCTACTTTTATAATTTGAAAAGTATCGGAAACCGATTCTCGCTTTGCGTATAAAAGAGTAATCGAGTATAAGTCGAAACTTTAGCGAATTTATAATATAAAACCGAGTACGGATCGTAGCACTTTCGATATTAATAAACACATTATCGGCGTATCCGATAAAGCGCGATAATAAACCGATGATTATTCGAAAGCTTATCTTTTAATCGTAAGCTATAAGAACTTCGAATTTAACCGCGGCGTTATAAATAATAACGCTGACCTTCGCACTTATATCGAATATAGCTCGCGCATTAATAATAAAAGATTGTCCGAGTATATTAATAATGACTTTAAAAGTTAGCGAATGATAATAAAAGTATTTAAAGAATAATTAGCTAAACGTCGAAGCTAGATCGATTTCCGCTAAAAAAAGCTTCGTATCACTTTCGATTGCAGTCCGCAAAGTACGCCGATCTTTATAAATAAACTAATCGAGAAAGAAGTATTAAAATTAAAAAACATCGTAAAACACGGTTATAAAAAGAATCAGAATAAAGCCGATAATAAAAATAAAGCAGAACCGCTTTAAATCGAAAGCGCTTTAAGTGCGAAAAGCGTATTACGTTAACAGTGCTTAGTTTAACTGCTACGGATATTCTTTTGCAATTAAGGCTTAGTTATTTAAAAGAATTCGAATAAGCGTTTAAGCTAAGACCGTTAAGCAATAGTATCTTTATATAAGATCCGTTTTAATCGAGCAAAGACTTGTATAAAGTTTGCTTTACCGGTGATTCGGCCGTAAGTCGAAGTAACAAAAGAAAAAGGAAAGAGTAAATTCTTACGATAAAGCGCTTTATTAATAAAGCGACTCGTAACTTTGCAAAATAAATCGCTATTAGATAAAAAGATATTACTTTCTCTTTGAATAAGCCGCTTAAGTCTCGAAGCAAGTTCGTTTTTTACCGGATCATCCGTCGCTTTCGGTATAAGCTTGTTATTAATGATTAAGTAATCTTTCGAAGCTTTCGCAACGCTAACCGTAGCTTAAAAGCAGTTAATAGCGCTTTCGCTAATAAAAGTTTGCTGAATTATCTTATCGATTATACTTTCGGAAAAAGATCGTTTAAAAATAAAAAGAGCAGCGAAGAACGCAATAATCTTATTAAGAGTCAGGTTCTTAAGCAAATCGCGCTCTTTTAAAAGCTTAATACGAGTCGCTTCGTAGTTTATTTTTAAGGAAGAGATTACTTTGCTAAGCTTTTCGTATGATTTAGCAGTCTTAAAAAGCTTAGCTTTAAGCTTAAGTACAGCTTTAAGAGCTTTTAGCAATATAACGAGCAGATTTCGTAAGTCTTCCGATCGTAAAGCGTTTCGATTAAGAATCGCGGTGTAAACGAGCTCGAGCTTATTTATTTTTATTAGTTTAATAAAAGTAACTTTAAGCTAGCTATAAGTAAATTAGACTTTTGCTTTTGCCGAAAGAGCGTCTTTTAACGAATATAACGTAATTCGAGAAGCTGCGTTACGCGCTCGAATCTTTACCGGTGCAATAATAGCTTTTATATTAAATACGCGAGCATATGAATCCGCCGATATAATGTATCGTTAGCGAATTATATCCGAAGTATTAAAGTCGTTAATACGAAAAGCTTTCGCATTACCGCCGTTAACTGCTCGAATAAGCGCTTTAATACGTTCTCGTACAGCTTTTTTAATAGATTCTCGTTGCGCTTTTAAAGCTTTATAACGACGCTTAAGATTAAGATCATTTATTATTTTATAAACCTTTTTTAAAACTTGCTCGTACTTAAAAGTATCGTTTCGGAACTAAAACGGAATCGATAGTATTTCTTTTCGATACGGTCTTATATATATTAAGTCCGCTTCGTTAAAGTGAAAAGCTAGTCCGTATTAAAGCATAAACAAATAGTATTAATTTTGATATTTATAAAGCTTTTATTAATAGTTAAGTAAATCAAAAGTCTGCTAATATTAATAGAAAATGCAAATAAAATCGTTTAAGAACCGTTTCTTTTCCGATATAACGTAGCTTTTGTTCGAATAGATATCGGCCGTATTAATCTCGTAGACTCGGTGCAAAGCGATCTCTTAAGTCTTTTCGTATTAAGCTGCTTTTAATAAATTCATATAAACTTCTTTCGATACGAAAGCGAAGCTATCGATAAGTCTTAAGTGAATATTAACTTTCGCTAGCTGTTTTATAAAAGCCTCGATCTTTAAGTCAAAATCGATAAACGAAGTAATCGAACTCGTAACAGTAGTGCTTGCGCGATAAGAAAGAAAAGCATAAGTACTACCGGAATAAGTGCTATAAAAGAGCGAAACGTATAAGTTTCGCTTGCTCTCGGAAATAATAAACGGTACTTAAAGACGAGAGTTTTCGTTTTAATAAAAGTTATAGCGAGAAAAAGCTTTAAAGATCTCGGCGTAGCCGTATTTTTTAATTCGTTTCGTAATGATCTATTTTTGCTTAATTAAATCGTTAATTATAATATATATTATATTATAAGTTTACAAGTAATCTTCTTTAAGTTTAACGTTCTTTTAAGTCCGATTTTGCATCGATAATAATAAGCAATTAAAGAACTTCTATTTTAATTGCTTATCGGTAATATTTTTATTAGCGAGGCAAGCAAAGCTCGTAAGGTTGAACTATCGAGTGAATTGTAAAAGCTCCGCTTTAAAAGCTCTTTTCTTTGCTATCTACTTATTGCTTAAGTCGTTTAAAAAGCTAATATTATTTTTTTACTTAGCTAGGTCGAAGGCTTTGTACTCTTTTTTGACCATCGATTTAAAGTCGTTCTAAATCACTTTCGGATCCGAAAAGCCGCCGAAGCTCTCGATATTGCAACGTATATTATAATCGAAAAGGCTAGAAATATTATATTTAGCAAAGCATTGCTTTTTTTTCGAATCGATAACGATACCGTAGTCTTTAAACGCTCGTTCGAGCTAGCGAATATAGTTCGTAATATTAGCTTTATCGAAAGCAAGCATTCCGAAAGCTTTAAGTTTAAAAAAAAGTTTACGGATACTTACGTAATTTAAAGCATTTATAAAGAGTAAAAAGGCTTAAATCTTCTTTATTTCGTCCTCGGTTATTTTGCGAATAACATTTTCGTTAATTCCGAAATCTTTTTAAGTCGAAAAAATTATAGCTCTTTTTGATTTCCGAAAGCTTTAACGTAAGCCCGTTAAGTTAAGTTAATAAATATCGATTAAGTGTAAAAGTATCTCGAAACGGATGCAAAAAAAGAACGAAAACGATATAAATA